AAATTTAAACTAAAATTTCTCAATAACCACTACAATAAATTATATGAAGCCAAATGCAGAACAAAGGGGAGACAGTCAGCTATTATTGAATACTTGTTTTTTAGGAATATCATGAAAATGGCTTCATGGCAAACAGCAAAGAGTGTCAAACTTACTTGATGCACAAATCTAAAAGCATCCCAACATGCATGTCATTTTGCACTGTCTACAATATCAATAACACCACAAAGGAAGCTGGAAGTGACTGGGTCAGTAAGAAGTACACTTGGGATGTCATTGACACTCTCTAGACCAAAATTATAAAGGTTCAACAACATCCACATGTAAGAAGGCCAGAGTGTACAGTGTAAACATAACCTGTAAGATTACAGCTACAAGTGGACTTAAAAGATTGTCAAAATGGTCATGCGTGACTACCTGGACCTTATATCATGCAGCAGGATGCAAAAGTACCGTCACATGGAAGTCATGAGGCTGAAAATATGTAAGAAAGTTCTTATAGCTTTAAGTAGCTCAGGCCCACTGTTAACATATTCTATAAAAAATATTGTGAACCTTGTTTTAAAGCACTTAAATGACTCATATCTTACAGTATCAACCCTTGATGTCAAGTGTACATTAAAGACTAAACATTCAGTCCAGATCATGGCCATGGATGTTGTGACCTTTGACAGGAAAATTATGCTTCTATTCTTCTACAAACATAGATAAATGATTGTTTTTGATACTGACTACAAGGTCTTAATGTGCCATATTTTGCTATATCTCAAGACCAAATATTTACAAGGCAATAAAGTGGACAAAGGTCAGTGCATCCAACCAAAAAGTACAGAAGTTCTGTAAAACTAACTTTGCTGATTTCCATCTTGTGGACCTCTGGCCCACCTCCAGTTTGGACTTGGACCTGCTTGGCTAGACTATGCCATATGGAGCATTTTGCAGCAGACTATCAATAAAACCTTCCACCACTACATTAATACCCTCCAGACAGCCATCAAGAATGAATGGGACAAGATGTCTAAGGATTTTATAGATATGAATTACACAGCTTTTGTGTCTGTGTTGAGGCTATTATGAAAAGTAATAGAAGCCATTTTGAATAAATTATTTGTTTAGACATTATTTATTCATTGATATCTTTTTCATTAATTGTCAAATTTATGAATAATAAATGGGTTTTTAAGGTCATAGTAATTTTATAAGTGTTACTTCCCCATGCTCATGTTCTAACTGGAGTAAGCTTGAAAAACACATCCAACTTTCTATATCAATCATATTTATAACTAAGCAAAGAAAAAAATCTGTACTAGCCGACCTTTAAATGTTATGTGTATCTAGATGTTTTTTACTATATGCATCAATTTATTTATACTGAAATTTGAATTTTTGAGATGATATTATTATCATTATTATATAATTTTCTATTCAGACCAGAATGCTCATCTTGGTTATTATATTCACATTGTACTCTCTGACTATCTTCAGGTACTTCTTCTTCGTACTCAGTAACTGTCTTGGAATTTTAAATTGAACCCTTTATTCAATCAATATTAGTAGTATGTTCTTTCTATGCTTACAGATTGTTTCATATCAATTAATACTCATCAGTTTTATTTACCTTTCTGTCACTTGTCCATTTCTTCAACTGAATCAGAATATGTGACTTTTCAGCACTAGAAGACTCAGGGATTGAACTCACAAATGCCAAGGAACTAGATATGTTTTTATCAACATGTGGATTGCTTGAACAATTTAGTGTTAACATTGTGGAGCTTTAAACATAAAATCTGAAACTCAGCCAGTGGGGCTGTAGATGTGTTCTGACCCAGTATAGCAAACAAAATGATAACCATCTAGAACCTGTTGAGTGAATCAAGGGTTCAGAATTCCAAGAACGTTAATGTGTATGAAGACAGACATCTGAAGAAGGCTGGATGGCATAATGACTGAAATGTTGTGAGTATAATAACCAAAATAAGCATAATGGTGCAAATAGAAAAGCATATAATGACTGAAACAGAAAATTCTTATTTTAGGTTAAGGTTTTGCACAGGTTGAACATAAGTATAGAAACTTATTCATTTTTACATAATCAGTGACAGGATTTTATCACCAGCCTTGAAAGTCCTGCATTGTGCAAGCTCCACCAGTAGTGAATCTGTGCTTATCAGGACATGCTTATCTATGCAGAAGGAGCACAACATACCAAGTAACCTATTGTATAGAGAATTGGTATGTGGCAAAAGGCAAACCAAATACTAAAAATATTTGGTCAAAACCAATCTCCCATGATGTAAAATCATATCAAATGAGCTAAAAGAGCATGCTGGAAATCATTCACACTGGCAAGCCATAGTCCATCAAGCCTCTACAAATTTTGAAAAAGCCTAGTGTTAAAGACTTATAACTGCCTGTGTTGCTCTGTCGTATTATTTTCCTAATAACATCACAAAAGAGCAGTCTGATTACAACTGACTTTCAGTGCCTACACTTTTCTGTACTCTGTGCCACCAAAGTCAGCTAATGGAGTTTTCTTTAAATATGAAGGATATGTTAATTTTTAGAAGCCTTTAATTTTGTCCCCCATCATATAGGACTGTATCGTTTGTAACTGAGTATGCAATTTTATGTACATACATAGTTTTGAAATTACATAAATCAGTGGTAGCAATAATATTATTTTATACTTTTGTAGTTTCTCTTTGTCTGTCTATCTATCACCATTGTTATACAACACAAATGCATGGTATTTATATATAATACTAGTTTACCTCCTCCATTAAAAATAACAGCAATATTTTAATAATTTTATATTTGCAATAATTATATTATCTGTTTGAGCAATCTAGAATATTTATTTATTCACTTATCTTTATTATTGTATAGAAGAAAGATCATTAAAAGTAACAGTATACAAAGAAAGCTAACACAAAACTAAAAAGTAATATATCAGAAACTTGATCTCCCCTATTTAATAATGGGATATTCTGTACTAATTGTAAATAAAAAAAATGTGTGCTTATTGATTTACAATAATGCCTCTTGTTATCATAACAACTAAATATGAGGGGTAGATCGAGTTGCTTAAACAATGAATGTATAAAGTTGCATTATACTTTTTTATAATATTAAAAAATAGAACATTAGACATTTTTATGATAATTATTTTTATTTCATTTACTTGGTATTTTGCCTTTCCTTTTTTTTTTACTGTAATTCTTCAGAATTTGGGAAAATGCGATTTTCCATAAAAGAATTAATGTACTTGTAATTGTGCATGTAAATATTCTGTGATATATGTACTTATATGTATGCTTGTATGTATTACGATACACATGTATTATTGTTACAGGAAAAATGAATAAGCAGGGAGTTACTTCCCCTCCTCACTGTTCATTAAAGTAATTGCGTCCCTTGTATATCGGCGCCTACTCTATAGACATAAAAATGATCCTTTCTCCTCCTTTTCGACTTCCAATAATAATAATAATAATAATAATAATAATAATAATAATAATAATAATAATGGCGATGATAATGCCGATGATGCTGATGATGATGCTGATGATCATGATAATAATAATAAGTTGATAATAATCATAAAAGTTATAGTAATACCCAGCAATCCCTTAAGGAACTCTATCTCCAATAAATGTAAATGTCTCAAAAATCTTTGAAGATTCATATTTGTTTCGTTTTTTTTTTTAATTTTTTTTCACAATCTTTATATTTTTTTTTTGTAATTTCGTTCACTCATTGTTTTTCTATACCCATTTCTTCTTTACTTTCTTTATTTTTTTTCTTTGTTTTTTCTTCTGTCTGTGCTCCTTCATTTTTCAGCAAATCTTGACTCCCATACAAAATTAATTTTTTTATACATTTTTCAAATATGTTCTTCATTTGTCAACATTCAGAATTGGGTAGAGATGGTTACAATTTATCATATTGAAATATTCAAAGCCAAATTTGCTGTTATTTATTTTCTAATCAAATATTTTTTTCTAATCAAATTGTCTGGTAAAATAAGAGATCTGAGACTCTAAGTGATTTCAAATCTCCCAGACCATTCTTCAGCAGATGATATAGGCAGATAGCGAGAACACAAGGCTTAAATTTACCAGCACCAATGTATATAAATCCAATTATTTTCTAGTATGGCATCATTTTTTTTATTTTTAATCAATCTAAGCTAGTTTACAATTTACATTAATATTTTTATTCTCATCTAATTTGATTGTGATAATAAAAAAATATAAATAAAATGATGCTTTCTTTTTTTTAAACAAAATTTAAAAAATTGAAGTCTCACTCAAAGTTTAAAAAAAAGTATAATGATTTCTTTTTAATTGACCCTCCCACTCTCTATTTCATGAATCAATTATTTTTAATGCAATTATGGCCTCAACAATGAGTTAAAATAAAAATGATAAGATTTAAAAATAATAATACTGCTGACTGATATTTACATGTTTGGAAAAAAATTATAATATCATTAATATTATAATTAATATTAATAATAATTATAATTATGCAAACAGAACCAATGTGTTCATTTTATGTTGGCCATGTGAATTGCTTGTTAGCATTTGAGGAACATAATTATCGTAAATCTTTGATATTTCCAAGCTAACAAACAAAAGATGACATGTGGAATCAGTTTTGCTACAGTACAGTTTCACATCACATGTATGTTACAATACTTAATATAGTTTTTGACTTTCTCCCTTTCTTGATTTTAAGGGTAAAAGGCAAAATTATACATGAGTTTATTTGCAATTTTTTATGACTGTTTGGGCTTTAATACTAATTTTTATTTTATTTTTTTGAAATTTTTGTTTTTTCTCATTTCATTTAATTTTTTATTTTATTGTCTGGCCTTCATCTACACCTTGATTCTTATTGCTTCACATTTTTAGTATGTTTTCTTTTTTTTAAGCTTTTTTGTAATTTTTAAGTGAATAGTCTCTGAGTAAATAGAGGATGTTCACTTTGTAATTCTCTCACAGAGATGCCAGATAAAGTTTTCGGTTTTCTGGCAATGCCGGTCCCCAGCTTGGTGCAGGCTTTATTAGCGACTTGATACGCTAAAAAATAAGGAAGAAAAAGAAAATATTAAAATTTATTCATGAATTTTAATTTTTATTTTACTTTTTTATTGGTTATAAAGTTCAGCGTAAGAAAATATTATAGATAAAGAAAAAAGAAGAAAGAAATGCACCAAATCATATTACAAAATTTAGTAACATTTAATTTACATTATTTGCTGCTAAACTAATGTCTTCATCTTTTCTCTCATTATCACAACATTTTAGCTATTATGAACTTCATTAAGTATCTGTTAGTCTGGGTAACTTTCAAAGAATTATAAATATGTACATCAGAATGAGAACAATTTACCTAATTGAATAAAAGGCACAGTTGCTGAGATACATAATCCTAACAAATTAAGCTGTAACTCTTCTCAAATGTAAATATCTCAACATCTTTAATAAAACATTGCACACAGATATATACTAAAAAAAGGACACCTTTATTTACTACTTTTTATATTCTTTTTTGTCTATTTTTCTAAGGCAATAAAATGTTGTTGCTAAATGTACATAATTGTTATTCATTCTTATGTGACTCACTGTGAAGCAATGACTGTAGTTTGCCAAACACCAGTTCAAGCCACAATGGATGTTGTGACAATGTAATATAAATTTGGAACAACTGTTCAATGATCAATGTTTAGTTCTGCAATCTTTTGAGTTGTTTTGCATGGGTTTACTTAGAAAATATCCCTCAACAGATTATTTTCAACCACAGGGGGATGTTTGGATTTATCCTTATCTTCAAAGCCCTTTTTGAAAAAGTTTTGGAACAAATCTTGTGTTTTATGTCTCTGGCTAAATGCTTGGTTGATATTGTAAATAATTTTCCTTGTTTTACATCTATTTTGAACTTATACAACACAATTGCTTTATTTTGACAGTTAAAAATTAATAATAAACAATGAAAACAAAACCATTACCATGAATCAATAGAGGGAAATTTGTACTTAAAATGATGTACAATATTAAGATAGATAAATAATAGTTTAATTTTAACTTAACTTGATTATTAATCAAATATTGATTAGCTACAAGGATGTTTTTAAGAGTTGCTTTCAACCTTTCTATATGTAGATAATATTGTGAAAATAATAGCTTAAAATAGTTTTCTTTTTAATATTTGCTTGAATATTCTGAGAGAATGTTAGAAGGGATTTTTTAGTGATAAAGTTCAACTAGATGACCAAAAGGAGAAATTATTATAAAGAAATGCATAGAATAATATACTTATCAATAGTCACAAGGATAATAACATCTATAATGAACTTGTCTAAATGGCAAAACTTTTGTATTGCTAATGTTGTACCTAAATAAAATGGTAATCGGAAAGAGAATTTTCCAGAGTTTTTTCCACTAACCTCCTTAAGACTTCCTTCTGCTTTCCAGACAGAATAAATCATAACAGTTGGAGTTGGGATCAAAGATATCAGCCCAAGCAACCATCCGAATCTGATAGCCCAAGCGGGATATGTGACGGTTCCGTAAGTCACAGGCCCCAAAGTGGAGACACTGAATAGCCAGATGAACTGAAAAAGAAAAAATATCATATAATGTGTGTGTTTGTTTGTTTGTTTTGCAGGCACAAAAAATTGAACACTTGCTGAGGGCATCAAAAGAGATGAGAACACCTCAGTTTTCCCCTTCTGAAGTTATTATGCATTGTAGTGACCAGAGAGATGATAACAATACAAAAGTTACTTTGACCAACAAAAGACACTATGCTATGGTGAGACATACTCACCTATGGCATATAAAAGAAGTGACCAGGCCATATTTGCAATCAAAACTAATAGACCATTATAAAAACAATTGAATAACAGTATCGATCCCATTTTAAAATTGTTTTTGTACAGGTCTTAAATAAAAAGGAAGCTCTTTTTTTATTTTTTTAAAACAGGCTATCTAATTAAAAATAAGTTTATTTTCTGAAGTTTCTATTGTATTTTCCGGAGTTTCTATTTTCTGTACGCAGCTATTATCAGCCCCGTTGAACAGAATGGCTTGAAATAGACAAAAATTACCTCAACATTGAGGATAGTCTATTTGATATATATATATATATATATATATATATATATATATATATATATATATATATATATAGATGATTTGATAGTGATAGAAATAAACACAGTAATTTTAACTTTATTTGCTTGAATATGTGAGAAAGTTTGATGGGATTTTTTTTCAAGTGAAAGCCTGACAAATAAGTGCCCAAAGGTAAAAATTATTATTACAAAACCATAACTGCATAGAATGACATACTTACCAAAATAGTTGCTGGAGTAATAAAGCACCAGCTAATTTTCCACCATTTGCAGGGCCTGTAACCAATCATGAGCTCAATGTCTTTGTAGAAACGATCAGCACCTTGAAAAAATTTAAAAAATAAAATTACTTATAATATTCCTAATAAAAATCAGAAAAGAAAGTTTACTGAAAAACAGATATTACTTATATTTATAGTGATTTACTAAACATAGTTTGGATATGGCACAAGGGCAAAAACATAAAGAACTGAACTCACTACTCAGTCAGAATTGATATGTGAGACAAGCTTGCTAACCATTACACTGCAATGTGGAGCTCTACCTCTCTCTCTTTTTTATATATATATATATATATATATATATATATATATATATATATATATATATATATATATATATATATATACACACACACACACACGTTTTATTAAAAGATGACTGATAAAAGTACTGCATTTAAGCTTTTATTTAATTTTTCTTGAATTCATATGTCATAAAATGTGCAAAAAGTTGTCCATATGCTTTGTCAGTCATCTTTACTGAAATTGTATAAAGGAAGGATTACTACCCAAATATATATGTAATTGAATGACAAAAATATTTTAAGATTTGTTATAAATTGATATGGAGAAGCATAATAAATTTTTTGAACATGTCACAAAAAATATTTCGCAGCTCCTGCTGAATTTTAGCATTTTAATTTTTTTTATGCTAAAAATGAACCTCTACATGTCATTAATGGAATTTATTACAATAAAATATAAATTCAAAATAAAAGTTGAGACACGAGAAATAGAGTACGGGAAGTTCTGAGGTCAGAACAGATTGCCACTACTATTTCCAGCCAAACTGCTAAAAGGGACATTTTTTTTATGACTCCAGATAAGCTGGAAGTGTGTTATTTGGGGTAATTTGCTTTTTAAGCTCTATGCTATATATGTAATAAAAATTTGTCAAATAGTTATATTTAGGTGTAAATGTATATGTTTAATTAAAAAATAACAAAGAAATTTTGATAAAATCTACCCTTTTGGAGTTATTGACAATAGAAGTTCGAACTCATTCATGTTGTACAAACCATAAAAAGGCCATAATTAATGTAATCTTTTGCACAAATCTGCTCAGCAGCAAATGTATGCAAACAACAGTAATGGCTGCCATGTTGTAACATGAATGAGTCTGAATTTTATTGTGAATAACGACTTACTTTATCAAAATTTCTTTATTATTTTCAAATTAAGCATGTAAATTTACATGTACATATAATTATTCTGCAAATTTTTATTACATATTTAGCACAGGGCTTTAAAGGCAAATTACCCTCCTGCATCTCCAATTTCTACTTGTATTGTATCTCTCTTTTCATCCTCCGATTACACTGGGAACTATTTGGATATATGTGGCGACTACTAGAGATATATGAGTAAACTTCTTAATCTTTCTAAGTTATGTTGTTTTATTTTGAAAAGACCAATGCAGCACACATTTGTGGAAGACTTCAGACAACCACAGTATACACATTGAACAATGACACCAAAAACTGTCAATAGAATTCTATCATTTCTCCATAAAAGCTTTGGAGAGGATTAATAAGAATTATTAAAGAAAAAGTTGCTGGAGGATAGAAATCATACTATTTGCAATGTGACTTCAAGTTGAAATAGTTCTGATGACTTTATTTACCTGACCCCCCACCCACGAAGATAGGATGTGAGATAAAAGTCTTCTTTTTAAATTAAAAAAATTTAATGTAACAGACAATCGTCATCCAGTGTTAATAATATCTATGTCAACACTGTTTATATCTATACTGATACCTCAGACAACAAAAGTAAATAAAAGTGAAACCTAAGTTTTAAAATGCATGTTAAAAAATATAAAATCTTTCTTGAAGCTTTAATTTTAGTTTTAATTCCATATTATTACCAATAAGCAAAATATGTTGGTGTATTTCAAACCAAAATTGAAATTGATTGGAATCATTTTTCTTATCAGTAAAATAAATGAGACTCATCCATATTGGCAGACATGTCAACACAAAATAATTCTCTTTAATAAATTTCTTTTCAAAAATGAAATACACTTCTCCGTTATTTGAGAAAATTGACTGATTTAAAGTTTAATTAATCTGAACTAAAACAGATATTACTTATTTTAGTTTAAAATCTTGCAGTAAAGTATATTTTTAGCATGGAGTGTGGTGGGGTTCTGATGTGTTGAGTGATTTTATGACAATCTAATGTTTTGGGAAATTTAAGTAAGGGGAATAGAACTGAAAGAAATTACTTGATAAATACCATGTGCACACCTTTATATAATTTTTCAATTACCCAGTAATCTTAAAAATTTCAGAAAATAATTTAAGCAATATTTTATTGAAGTTTATGTTCTTTGGCTTTATAGTCTTAGGAAGACACTTGTTGAGAAAATGTTAGAAACTTACAAATAAATTTTAAATTTATTAAATGTACCTCTCTTATTTTCTGATAATGTCATAAATAGGTGTCTGTATTTATATGTCCTGTCTCTCCTGATTGCATGCTGATGGTGCTGCAATATCTAATATTGGCACATAGGTTGTGTGAAGGTGGTAGATAAGTACCTTTAATATCTATATATTGGTCTGTCGATCATTTTCCTTGTTCATTGAGCACTGCACTGTATTAGTTATTGTCATATTTGTTTGATATATATATATATATATATATATATATATATATATATATATATATATAAAGTAAATAAAAGTAAGGTAAATTCAAAATTATACATTTTGCTAAAAATACTTACCATAAATCCATGCTATGACAACGCATTCAGCAAGTGAAATTAACATCAAGGAGAAGCTTGCACAATACCAATCCATGATCTGCAGGACATAGATACCTCCCTGAAAACAAAACAGAAAAAATTACTCCAAATTAATTGGAGAATCATTTCACCATATTTTCTTCCTATTTTTGGAAATAATACACAATAATATTGCTTCATCTAAATTAGAGATCAAACACAAACATGAACACACACACATTTATATATATATATATATATATATATATATATATATATATATATATATATATATATATATATATATATATATATATATATATGAGATAACAATATATGTTTTTATATATCAAGAACAGTATTAGGGAAATTTTCCTAATATATATATATATATATATATATAATTTGCTCTCACACACACACACACACACACACACACACACACACACACACAAGAGATATGGAATTAGGTGGAAATTGTAACTCACTAGAAACTGTGCAAATTGTTTGCATTTAGCTATGCAGACTAATAGTAGAAACACATGCAAGAAAGTGGTTTTGAGGAATGTAAAATGTAAAATTCACTAGTCCTTTGAAATTCAAACAGACCACCCACTCCACCCCAACCAAAAAAAAAAAAAATCAGGTGTAATTATTGACAATAAAGAAGAATTGGTAGATAGTTGATATTGCTTTTTCCATCAGACTAGAGAGTGAAATAATGTTTTCTTTATAAGACTTTGAAAATATTGCATAAATCATAATGTTTTTAATAATTTATAAAATAATGTGGAGGAGGAAAGAAGCATAGCTCTCATGGCTTTGGTCTTAATTGATTGGAGGTGTTAACATGTCCATATTTTATTTTGGTGAATTAAGATGGGCTATAGTAAAGATAACATTTAGTACCATAGACTTGCTTTTCTGTTGCCTGACCATATCCAGTTGGTCATGTCCCTTATGGATTGATGCACTGTATATCTCTGTTCATGAATGAGAATTATAGGAGACATTGACTAGGTTGATTTTTAAGGTTGAAGGATGAAGTAGTCAAGGCTATTTGAGAACCCCCATCAATTGAGTGAACTGGGTTACCTAACCTGAAGGTAAACAGACCCCATCTGCTTTTATCAAAATTTGTCAGGATATATTTGGCTGTGATGCATATACCTGGTATACCCTTATAAAATTTTGCTCAAAAGTTATCTTGTAGATATTGTTAAATGTTGAGTTAAAGGGACTATAACAACTCTGTAAAAACAAGGCATAAAAATTTTCCGATACATGTTCTTGTAAAAGTCTTTGCCTGATAATTTTGTTGTAGTCACTGCTGATGTTTTTGTAGCCATAACTTATTTATTGTTAATCAGAAAAAAAATTTTATTTTGTTAACTTTTGTCTACAATAATCTGGAAACATTTAATTATTAAATTTACATGTTCCTTGTTCATAGTGTTTCACTGCTGATGTATTCACTAATCTTTCTCAGTTGTACAGGGTGCATTTGGTAAATTGTTGCCATTTTATATTTTTTAATTGCACGCATGTCCATTGTTTGTTTTTGATTTTGTCAACTTCACAGTATAGTAGGATTAGTTGGGTACCATCTGCGAGAAAAAGAACTTAATGACATAATTAACTCCACCAGGAACGACATGCTGTATTGCTTTGCATTCATGCCAGAAGCTCTAATACAAACATTTCAGAGTGTTTGGGTGTGAATCTGAGGACAGTGCAGAGGATTCAGAAAGAGTTGGATGAGTCTAATGGTGGTTATGAAGGTGTTTGGAGTGATCACTAGTGATAGTGATATTATGCCTCCAGTCATCTTCCCACAGGGCCTCAGACTCAATGGAGGCCTACATAAAGTGCCTTGAAGAGGTAGTTCTGCCTTGGGTCAAGAAGATGGCTGTTGGAAGTCCCTATATCTGGCAACAGGACACTCTGCACCATGCCACACAAGCAGAGGAACTTAGTCAATTTCTGCAACCACATCACCTTTTACATCTGGTTACATAACTCTCCAGACTGCAACTTCCTTTATAATGTGTGGGGTGTTGTTGACTGAGAAACCAACAAAACTCCTTGTAACACCAAAGATGAACTGAAGACAAGGATTATGGCAGCATTCACCAGCTTAAACAAGGTAACTGTCAAGAAGAGTTGTAGGAAATTCCAAAGTTTTCTGGAGGCCATAGTTGAAGCCAATGGTGATTTCATTGAATAAATTGACTCTTTAGTATTTTTGGTAAATATATTTGTTGATATCAGTGTTATTTTCACTTTTAGATAATTTAGACGACAATTTATTTATCGCATTCATCCACAACTTTTGAGGTAGTTTTGAAGGTAACTTTTTATATAATTTGATGATAAGTATATACTTTTCTCATCCTTATTTTTTTGCCATGTCAAGTGTACTCTCTAGGGAATTACCTTCCAGTTTCTATTTTCTTTTGTTGAACAATTCCACTTAGGCAGAGGGATATTAGTCTCTCCACAACGTAATATAGAAGCTGACGTAGAAATACTGAAGAATACATCTGAGCTAGAATACTGTTGTATTAACCTTTATAACTCTGTATGTGACATCATTTTCTGTTCAAAAAGTTTATCCTTCCACGAAAGGTGACTCTGATCACTGAACAATAGTGTGTTCAAATTTTATAGTTGTGTTGTCATATCCAGCTGTGGTCACAGAAAATAACTTTGAAATTAACAATTAAGATACTGCAATTGAGTGCTAAAGGTTAAAGAAAAACGGAACTAATGGTTTTGTCGCTTTGTTAGTAGTGTTTCAAGAACCACTTCAGATGGTGAAATTCATTAATAACAGCAAACCATATATGTATACTAGGTATGTTTAAAAATTTTCACCAAGAAATAGGCATCCTATTTTTTTAATTAAATTTTTTTATATCTTTAATTTTTTCTTTTTAATTAATTTTTAATTTAATTGTAATTTTAATGTTTTTCGAATTATTTTAAAGGTAAGAACATCAAACATGCTTGTCTAAAAACAAAGAAAAATATTTTTTTTTAATTACAATATAGAATTGGATTATTGTAAAGTCAATGTTTATTTTAATCAGTAATATTTTACTATATGCTGGTAAGCCCATTCAATAACAGAGGGTGCACAACTCTCCCTTATTAATAAATATATTTGATAAAAACATTTCAGTAGTCAATGAATGTGATTAATTATTTTGATGACTCAAACCTTGATGTTTTTGAGAACACTGAAAGTAATTGTTTTGTATTTTCATTATTAAGGACATATTGTTATGTTTTGTATTTTTAAATAAATATCTAGGATATAAAAGTTTATATTGTTGTTAATAATATCTACTGTGTAATACATGCTCTTGAATAAAATAGCAGGTGTGGAAAAGTTCTAGACTTACCTGTGTGACACATGGTAATCCCAAGAGGAATTCAACAAAGCAAGCAATGGCACAGATAAGTGTCTTTTTTCCTCGCAGATAGGTTGGATATTCATCCATGAATGCACTCAACATGGTTTCAAACATTCCAAACTGATAAAATATATACAAGGCCAGAATAAGAGAAATGCTATAACAAAGAAAATATCTTCTGAAAGAAGATTTCAGATTTTGAACCTTAAAAAAATAATTATGGAATAATAATAGTAATAATAATAATAGTAATAATATCAAAATAATAATATAAGAATAATAATATAAGAATAATAATATAAAAAATAATAGGATAAAAAAGATAATATACTACAGTAATAGTAATGATGATATTAATAATTAATGATAATAATAGAAAGAATAATAAAAATAATAATAAGAAGAATAATAATATAATAATGATCATATAAAAGTGATAAATAATTCATGCTTAAGGAACAATGTAATTTATAAATGAAAACAGTAAAACAAATTCATGTTTGCATTTAGGTTTTGGATATTTCTCAGTAAAGAACCAATATCAAAATTTGTAATGTTAAAGTTAATTTAGAAGAACAGATTTTTTTTTCAAAATTTCTCAAGAAACCCAAATCTGTCAAAATCCATGCAATATGCTTTTCTAAATGAAAAAATTGTTCAAAAGTTATCTTGTGAATTACTGGCTGTTTAAACTAAAGGGGACATAACTCATCTGTAAAAACGAAGCATGAAAATATGCAGATATTTATTTCTGTTGTAAAAGTATTTCTTGTAACTTTACAACATATGAATAAAATGTGATATCATTTGTAGATATGTTATTTGCATATTGACCAGTACAATAGCATTATGCATCATATTCTCAAAATTAGACAACTATTAACTATTGTTTGATTACTTCTTTTACCCAAGATTTTAAGCATCGGTATAACATATTTGATTTAATTTAATCTAATAATTATGTTGTTGAGGTGATGCTAATAGGGTGTAAGTGCATTATTTTTGTGAAATGAGAAAGAGAAAAAGAGAAAAAAATGGAAAAATGACTAACTCCACAGGGCCTTTTTGCATAATACAGTTAAAAAAAAAATTAGGTCCTAACTTCATAGAAAGATTTTGTATTAAAATATTGTCTACATTATTTGTATAGAGATCAATTTTCTCATTTCATAAAAATGGAAAAAGATGTGAAACAAGTGTATGTCAACTTATGTCCTTTTACGATCATACCACCCTACAGGCAAGCCACCAATTTGTCACTGGGTGGCATGCCACTGGCATTTACTGATGGTGGCCTGCCACTGGCATTTTCTGTTGGTGGCCTGACACTGGTGTTTACTGCTGGTGACCTGCTGTCAGACCACTGGTTAGTTTGTCTCGGCAATTTTACCACTGGCGGACCGCTAGAGGCACACCGGTGACCTACATGTGTCTGCCACCAGAGGACCTCTGGCACTGTCATCAGCGACCCGCAAATGGGCCACTAGCAGCTTGTGTGTACAGCAATGGTATAAAATACAGTTAATTTTTAAATTTCTATCATGATTTAATATTTTTGAAGAATCTTATTTATATATTTTTTAGATATTTTAAAGTTTCTTAAAATCTAAGATTTATTTTCTTCATACACTTTATCATAGCATACGTAACAATAAAAATAGGATATATAGCATTTTCTTTTTTTGTGGGTTCTACAAATGTTATATTTCCTTCCTTATTCTTTGTATGCTATAAGAAATGCATTAGTGAATAAACATTTTACATAATTAGATTGCTTTGAAATAATTTTATTTGTTTATAATCTTTCTGTTCATAATATAGATGAAGCAGTTTACTGTGGTCATTGTGAGGCAGGAATTTTTAAATAACACTGACATTAAAAAGGATATAAAAATTAAATCAGTTCCCAAATTTTGATTATAATAAGTAGATATTTTCTAATTCATTTTAAATAAACTTTTTATGGAGTGCTAATTTTTATAACAATAAGAGTTTTATAACATCTGTGATCATAAGAAATAGTTTTGTTTGTAATTTAAATTAATATTTAATAAATTATTAAAGGTCCTTGAATTTTCATCTAAATTGATAAATAAAACACAAATTTATATTATAAATGTAGCACAAGTTTCTAGAGATATGCTAATTTAAACAATATTTTAATAATAATTTTAAAGTTTTTAATATGAATCATTTAATCTTAAAAGAAATTTTAAAAAGAATGCTGAATGTTTACTATATAAGACCTAGGTGATATTTTGAACTGTTTTTTGAATAAAAGGGATAGATCTTATGTCATCAAATGTAGAATTAGAAGCAAGTGGGTAATAGTTATCTTGATGATTAGTTCTTAATTTGATAAATGCAAAATTTATAATATAAGATATGAACTTTAAGAAATTCAACATATTTCTTAAATACAGATTATTATTTAAAATAATCAACATTACTTTTCTGCTTCCAAAGAGTTCATGGGGCATAAATCTAATTATTACTGAACCGTTAAAGGTATTTTTCAATTTCAGTATTAACTGGTGAAAAATTAATCTTTGAAATAATCAAGAAAATATATTATTAGCCCTTTGAGCCCTGCATTCTTGAAAAATTTTATCCTTTCTGCTTGAGCTCCTGTTGTAAGTAATTCCCACAACCTGTACCCCCTGTTTGGTGTAATGGACAGACTCCAGAAATGTTTATAAATAAGCTAGCTTAATTCTTTTCTTTTGGTAGCTGTATTAAGTTACAGTCAGCGCCGTCGGTCTAACTCTCTGCATTAGCAGGGAGGAACCCGGATGAAGCTTTGCCGAAGGGCAAAGTTTCGTTCGGGGAGGTTGACAGGCCTCGAACCCACCTAGGCGGGTTCGATGGCTATATTTTTGGCTGAGCCTACGGGCTTGGGATACCCACATTAAACTCGGCCTTGTGCCACATTCAATCCTCATGGGGGATAGCTAAATATTGGTAGCTGTATTAAGTTACAGTTCTGTCAAACTCTCTGCATTAGCAGAGAGGAACCCAGACGAAGCTTTGCTGAAGGGCAAGGTTTCGTTCAGGGAGGTTGACAGGCCTTGAACCCGCCTAGGCAGGTTTGATGGCTATATTTTTGGCTGAGCCTACGGGCTCGGGAAACCCATATTAAACTCGGCCTTGTGCCACATTCAATCCTCGTGGGGTGATAGCTAAATATTGTAGCTGTATTAAGTTGAATAAAGCTTTCCTAAGTTTATTTGCTTCGGGTTATTCATTACAGCTCCTGAATCAAAAATTGCAAATAATTGGTATGTAATGTTTTACACTAGATATAAAAATAGTTACAAGTGTTTACCCATAGTTCAACTGGTGGCTGGGCATTAAGTCATTTTTCTCTACCACTGTTCAACCGGTGGCTGGGCATTACATCATTTTTCTCTACCACCGGTAAAGTAGTGGTCAGGGCTCAAAGGATTAAATTATCTATAGAAAATGAATTTTCAATTACATCTAATCCAATTTAAAAAAATATTATATGGTAAATAAAAAAATACAATATACAAACTCACTGTGGAAATGGGGTGAATAATCACCGAACATTATTAGAAAGACCAATGCAAGATAACCCCTAGATATAGGGAGTAGAACAAATGTTGTAATATTAACAACATAACAAAAATGAAGATAGTAATCCAAATGTAAATAATGAAAACTTGTTATCCCGGAAATTCAGACAGAAATATTTAATATATATGAAAAATATCTTTAACTTGATTTTATGTTGTAATAGTGAGTAATTTAATTTTTGGGGGGTAGATATTATTTTCATGGGTTTTTTGAGTAACTTTAATATTTTTATATTTACTGAGTTATAAATCACAAAAACTGATAAGAAAATCAAAAATCAGACTTATGCAATTTTTCTTGTTTCAACAGTCTAAAATGAAACTAGCATTGGCACAAGTAGCTTAACAGTTACAAACATGGAAAATGGAATTGTTGACCTGAGTTTGAATTCCAATTGAAACAGTTTCTGTTTATTTGGAAGAGGCTTAAATAGCAGAGCAGTCTGACCTCTTTAGTCTTTGGTTGGCAACCAATCTAGGTGAACAACTCTGAATTCAAAACTATAGAGAAGGTAATAGAAAACCAATCTGTTATTTCTTCCAATAAAAATTATAGTAATGCACAGTTTACAGATGTTAAACAGAAAAAGAAACTGTGAAGAGCTACAATCACCTATGCCCTGAAAAAACATGGCACTTGAAGAAAGAGAGTATCTTAATGATTTTGGTTTTAAATATTTAGCAAACTATTTAAAATTATCTGTAAAATAACTTTCTAAATTTTTAAAAAGTATATAATTTAATCTCTTTAAAAAAAATAAAATAAGCAATTTGGCATATTGAGATCTTGATAAATTGAGTGTTACAAACAGTTGAATTATACTCTCTATTTGAGTGTAAAATGCAGAATAAATGGAATTGTATAATTTCTTTCTCCCTTTTTATTCAGTATGCAAATAACCATTAAATAAATCCAGTTCTTACTTAATTATACACATGAATTTTAAGTTAAAAGTTTTTAAGTTGATGACACCAGGTAATAGTACCAATTTCTGTATTTTTATATTGCTTAAATGAAATATAATTATGCTTATAAAAATCTAAAGAAAGATATTAGAATTTGGAGTGAGCATCATAAATTGTGTTGAAATGACTTTGATTTTAAAGAATTTTTGTTTGAATCAAAGATAATTTTTATTTGATGGAAAACTTGTTAAATTATTAAAAATTTAAAAGGGAGCTAACTCCTTACATTTTATCTGATAAACAAAATTAAATGAATTTTTAAAGGAGTGCATATCATGAAAAATTGTCTGTAACCAATTCAGTAGCGGAGCAAGTTTAATTCTCATTGGATGACACATTTCTGTGGCGTTGTAGTACTAAACTAAGCAATACTTATTGAATAATAATACCATATTCCAAGATTTTTTATAGAAAAACTAATGTATAACTTCAAATATTTGAATTTTGTTTATAAAAAAGAATTATTAGTTGAAAAAATTAGTCTTATAGAGATGTATTTCTACAAATCATAAATGGAAGCATGTTTCTTTGATAGAAATGGTTTAAGTCTTTGAATAT